GTATTTCTCATAGGGTCCTATGTTAAACTAAGTCCTCCGCTGGCGGCCATCTTAGATAATGGATAGCCTTCATAGTAACAACACTTGGTCCGCACCTCATAAGGAACATTCATGCCATGTTTGGTTTCATTGCATTCAGTGGTTCTCTAAAAGAAGACATTTGTATGTATTTCCCATAGGGTCCTATGTTAAACTAAGTCCCCCGCTGGCGGCCATCTTGGATGATGGATCGGCTTCAAAGTAACAACACTTGGTCAGCACCTCATAAGGAACATTCTTGCTTTGTTTGGTTTCATTCCATTCAGTGGTTCTCTAAAAGAACACGTTTGTATGTATTTCCCATAGGGTCCTATGTTAAACTAAGTCCCCCGCTGGCGGCCATCTTGGATTATGGATCGGCTTCAAAGTAACAACACTCGGTCAGCACCTCAAAAGGAACATTCATGCCATGTTTGGTTTCAATCCATTCAGTGGTTCTCTAAAAGAAGACATTTGTATGTATTTCTCATAGGGTCCCATGTTAAACTAAGTCCCCTGCTGGCGGCCATCTTGGATTATGGATCGGCTTCAAAGTAACAACACTTGGTCAGCACCTCATAAGAAACATTCATGCCATGTTTGGTTTCATTCCATTCAGTGGTTCTCTAAAAGAAGACATTTGTATGTATTTCCCATAGGGTCCTATGTTAAACTAAGTCCCCCGCTGGCGGCCATCTTGGATTATGGATCGGCTTCAAAGTAACAACACTTGGTCAGCACCTCATAAGAAACATTCATGCCATGTTTGGTTTCATTCCATTCAGTGGTTCTCTAAAAGAAGACATTTGTATGTATTTCCCATAGGGTCCTATGTTAAACTTAGTCCCCCGCTGGCGGCCATCTTGGATTATGGATCGCCTTCAAAGTAACAACACTCGGTCAGCACCTCAAAAGGAACATTCATGCCATGTTTGGTTTCAATCCATTCAGTGGTTCTCTAAAAGAAGACATTTGTATGTATTTCTCATAGGGTCCCATGTTAAACTAAGTCCCCTGCTGGCGGCCATCTTGGATTATTGATCGGCTTCAAAGTAACAACACTTGGTCAGCACCTCATAAGAAACATTCATGCCATGTTTGGTTTCATTCCATTCAGTGGTTCTCTAAAAGAAGACATTTGTATGTATTTCCCATAGGGTCCTATGTTAAACTAAGTCCCCCGCTGGCGGCCATCTTGGATTATGGATCGGCTTCAAAGTAACAACACTTGGTCAGCACCTCATAAGAAACATTCATGCCATGTTTGGTTTCATTCCATTCAGTGGTTCTCTAAAAGAAGACATTTGTATGTATTTCCCATAGGGTCCTATGTTAAACTTAGTCCCCCGCTGGCGGCCATCTTGGATGATGGATCCGCTACAAAGTAACAACACTTGGTCAGCACCTCATAAAGAACATTCATGCCATGTTTGGTTTCATTCCATTCAGTGGTTCTCTAAAAGAAGACATTTGTATGTATTTCCCATAGGGTCCTATGTTAAACTAAGTCCCCAGCTGGCGGCCATCTTGGATTATGGATCGGCTTCAAAGTAACAACACTTGGTCAGTACCTCATAAGAAACATTCATGCCATGTTTGGTTTCATTCCATTCAGTGGTTCTCTAAAAGAAGACATTTGTATGTATTTCCCATAGGGTCCTATGTTAAACTAAGTCCCTCGCTGGCGGCCATCTTGGATGATGGATCGGCTTCAAAGTAACAACACTCGGTCAGCACCTCAAAAGGAACATTCATGCCATGTTTGGTTTCATTCCATTCAGTGGTTCTCTAAAAGAAGACATTTGTATGTATTTCTCATAGGGTCCCATGTTAAACTAAGTCCCCTGCTGGCGGCCATCTTGGATTATGGATCGGCTTCAAAGTAACAACACTTGGTCAGCACCTCATAAGAAACATTCATGCCATGTTTGGTTTCATTCCATTCAGTGGTTCTCTAAAAGAAGACATTTGTATGTATTTCCCATAGGGTCCTATGTTAAACTAAGTCCCCCGCTGGCGGCCATCTTGGATTATGGATCGGCTTCAAAGTAACAACACTTGGTCAGCACCTCATAAGAAACATTCATGCCATGTTTGGTTTCATTCCATTCAGTGGTTCTCTAAAAGAAGACATTTGTATGTATTTCCCATAGGGTCTTATGTTAAACTTAGTCCCCCGCTGGCGGCCATCTTGGATTATGGATCGCCTTCAAAGTAACAACACTCGGTCAGCACCTCAAAAGGAACATTCATGCCATGTTTGGTTTCAATCCATTCAGTGGTTCTCTAAAAGAAGACATTTGTATGTATTTCTCATAGGGTCCCATGTTAAACTAAGTCCCCTGCTGGCGGCCATCTTGGATTATTGATCGGCTTCAAAGTAACAACACTTGGTCAGCACCTCATAAGAAACATTCATGCCATGTTTGGTTTCATTCCATTCAGTGGTTCTCTAAAAGAAGACATTTGTATGTATTTCCCATAGGGTCCTATGTTAAACTAAGTCCCCCGCTGGCGGCCATCTTGGATTATGGATCGGCTTCAAAGTAACAACACTTGGTCAGCACCTCATAAGAAACATTCATGCCATGTTTGGTTTCATTCCATTCAGTGGTTCTCTAAAAGAAGACATTTGTATGTATTTCCCATAGGGTCCTATGTTAAACTAAGTCCCCCGCTGGCGGCCATCTTGGATGATGGATCCGCTACAAAGTAACAACACTTGGTCAGCACCTCATAAAAAACATTCATGTCATGTTTGGTTTCATTCCATTCAGTGGTTCTCTAAAAGAAGACATTTGTATGTATTTCCCATAGGGTCCTATGTTAAACTAAGTCCCCCGCTGGCGGCCATCTTGGATTATGGATCGGCTTCAAAGTAACAACACTTGGTCAGTACCTCATAAGAAACATTCATGCCATGTTTGGTTTCATTCCATTCAGTGGTTCTCTAAAAGAAGACATTTGTATGTATTTCCCATAGGGTCCTATGTTAAACTAAGTCCCCCGCTGGCGGCCATCTTGGATGATGGATCCGCTACAAAGTAACAACACTTGGTCAGCACCTCATAAGGAACATTCATGCCATGTTTGGTTTCATTCCATTCAGTGGTTCTCTAGAAGAAGTTCAAAATGTAAAAAGTTAACGACGACGACAGACAACAACGGACAACGCTGGACACCAAGTGATGAGAAAAGCTCACTTGGCCCTTCGGGCCAGGTGAGCTCAAAAAAGGAAAAAATAAATCCCACCTCCCAAAATTTTTTGAACCCCCTTATGATTCATCAGCCCCAAACTCAATCCCAGCCTTCCCTTTGTGGTATGGTACCTTGCAGTACAATTTCAAAGAGATCCATACACTTGAACACAAGTTATTGTCTGGAAACTATAAAAATGCTTGTTTTTTTGGCCCTTTTTGGCCCCAAATTCCTAAACGTTTAGGGCAATTACCCCCAAACTTAAACCCAGCTTTCCCTTTGTGATATGAACCTTGTAGTACAATTTCATAAAGATCCATACACTTACACACAAGTTATTGTCCTGAAACTAGAAAAATGCTTGTTTTTTGCCCCTAATTCCTTAAAATTTTGAGGCAATTACCCCCAAAATCAATCCCAGCCTTCCCTTTGTGGTATGGTACCTTGCAGTACAATTTCAGAGAGATCCATACACTTGAACACAACTTATTGTCTGGAAACTAGAAAAATGCTTAATTTTGACCCCTTTTTGGCCCCTTATTCCTAAACGTTTAAGGCAATTACCCCCAAACTCATTTCCAGCTTTCCCATTATGATATGGAACCTTGTAGTACAATTTCAGAAAGATCCATACACTTACACACAAGTTATTGTCATGAAACTAGAAAAATGCTTGTTTTTTTTGGCCCCTTATTCCTTATTTTTGAGGCAATTACCCCAAAATCAATCCCAGCATTCCCTTTGCGATATGGATCCTTGTGGTACAATGTCAGAGAGATCCATACACTAACACACAAGTTATTGTCTGGAAGTTACAAAAATGCTTATTTTTGGCCCCTAATTCCTTAACTGTTGGTACCATAACCCCCAAAATCAATCCCAACCTTCCTTTTGTGGTATTGAACCTTATGGTAAAATTTCATAGAGATCCATTAACTTAAACTAAAGTTATTGTGCGAAAACCAATGGGTCTTCGGCGCCAACAAAGACGATGATAACAACGCCAACGTCATACCAAAATACAATTTTTGCAGTTGTATAAAAAGGACAATAGATCACAATATTCTCGATGAAAGTTTTTCTTGTTTTTACCTGCTGACAAAGTAGTCAAGGATGTTGTTGTTTGAACTCAGTACTATACTCTTATACTCAAAACTCAGATCACAATTTCGAGTACTTTCAACTTCTACTGGCAATAAGATTGTAGATAAACAAAATTCAACATCGACTGAACTGAATATTGTAATTGAATACCACAAGAATCCCACTTTGTATTGGCTTCCTAAATGTTTGTCACTGGGGGGAAAGTAGAGACATCATTTTACCTGACTCAAAATATTTACAAATGATTAAAAGATAAGATAACCAGATTGTTCCAGGGTAAAATAAATTGCAATTGAAATGCACTTGAGAGTCTAAGATTGCAACCATTTTTTTTTAAAAAGAATTCATTGGTAAAAAAAATTAAAATTAAACAAAATATTCTTCAACCCATATGAAATTACTAATCTATCATACTTTACAAAATGGGTACTAGTCAGAATTTTTTACGAAATTTAAAATAATTCTCATTACACACTAGCAAATTACTAATATCTGTACCCACTTCGTGTCATTTATGTATCCTGAAAATGATTTTGTCCAAAAAAAATAAGACTATGAAAAGGGTCATTTGGGGTATATGTCAATTTGACACCAACCCATAAACACAAGCGAATACCTTTTCATATTATTTTTGTGTAGGTATTGGACTTAGTCAAATAGTAAAGTACTGAAAGCCAAAGTTACTTTCCAATTTAAATCCATTATTATAAACATAACATTTTTTCACATTTAATTAAATAAAAGATGATAAGACAAATATTGACAAGTAAACAGTACATTCAAACTGAATAAATACATTTACAATCAATAATCAAACAATGCAAATTTGGCTTAATGGAATGGTAAAATTCACATTTATTTTTCAAACAAAGAAAACTTAACCTTTTTATACTTTTTACACAGATTTACATTATCAGTCATACAAAGATATGCTAACCATTTTCTTGCACAAGAGCAATATTCTAAAATAATTCAAACCAAAATCAATCTATGGTTAAGTCATCCAAGTCGAGCTGTTTAATTCTTCTGCACACTTTTATTTCAAAATAACAAGTTTTGTTAATCTTAGTTTTAAAAAATTTATGATAGATTTGCTTTCTTGCAAGAAAATAGTTTGCACATGATACCTGTTGATGCAAATCAGAATGTGTTATACAAAGAATTTATATAGTATAAATCATTGGTAATATAGAATTTATCAAATGAAAAAAAAAAAAATTTAATACAGACCATGATACATTTTGTGCCATTTAGAAATAAAATAAAAATGATAAGAAAAACATTCTTTCAACAGACTCACTCAATCACAAACTGTAAATTCAGAAATTATTGCGAGGTTTTTATTAATGAGAATAATGCAACTGAGTGAGTATCGCAATAATAAGAACTTGCATTCTGATATCTGATCAATATATCTGTATGCAGTTTTTCCTGAAATCGCAATAACTAATCTCGCATTTATGTCCATTGTTCAAAAATCGCAATAATAAATGTACGCAATAATTTCTGAATTTACAGTATTTAAAAGTGTATGAAAAGCACTCCTAAAAAATATCAATACTATAGTAGAGAAAATCATGAGTTCATATGAAATAACACAATTCAGAAAGACTTCATAAAGCCACCTATATAATTTGAATCAAAATAACAATTGTAGGTCATTCAGGATAACTGCAACGCAAAAGCTTGCAGAACACCACCCCTCTCCCTCAAGGTTATTTTGTGTACATAAATCTAATAATACAAATATAATATCAACTAGGCAAAAGAAAATTAGAAGTTTATCATCCTTTCAAGTCATTGAAAGCTGTCATAGTTAACCTTTGTTAATACTGGTCATTTGACATCATTGATATCATTTTTTTAAAGATCAATACATGTTCCAGAATGGCAGAAAACTAAATTGACAAGGGAAAAAATGATCAAACAACAGATCCAAAAAATATCTTAAAGGAGGATTTTAGGGCCTTCCAAAGAAAAGTCTAGGGGTTTCTACTTGGAAATATCCAGTGGTTTCCATCTAGAAAATTCTAGGGGGTTCCAAAGGGAAAAAGAGGCATTCCAACTAAATTTTCATCACTTTTTATGTGATTTAAAAAAAAAACCTAACCCCCAGAACAACCACTCTTGATCTGCCAATGATGAACAAGATACAGGGTTAAATAGTTTTTACTTTGGTTAAAGGACCTGAACATCTAACTTTTTAGAAAATTCTTGGTTTTCCTAAATAACGTATTTTTCAAAAACATAAAAAAAACTATTCTGTTTCATTCAGTAATATTCAAGCAAGCAAATGTTTTGAATGGTCTGTCAGAGTCAGACTTAAAATCATAAAATCAAGTACTGTCCTCAGATATCTGACCTTTGCTTTTGACATTTGAATTACACATGGAGAACTGGTGTTAGACTTAATACTGACTAAACAAAAATCATGAACAGATTAAAATTTGCCTTTTCTTTTGGGGTACTGCTTGTTAACCAATCACTTCATGTGTGTTTTACCAATTGAATATCACTTGAGGATTGTGTAGAATTACCCACCAATATTTGAATAAGGAGATGTGATATGACTTCCAATAAAAAAAAGTGTCCAACAAAAGACAAGGGTGTAAACATCCACAGGTCATTGTTAGACCTTTAACAATGAGGAAAAACCCACACCATGTAGTAATCTTTAATTTGTATAAAAGTCCTAGGATAACAAAATGAAAAACATTACAACAGGGAAAACTATATGCCTGATTCATAAAAGTCCTTGGGATAACAAAATGTGAAACATTACAATAAGGAAAACTAAATGCCTGATTTATAAATGGCCTTGGATAACAAAATGTAAAACACTGCAACAGAGAAAACTAAAGGCCTGATTCAATCAAATTATGAAAAACAATATGACAGATGGCAACCAAGGACAACCATGGGACTACAGCTAACCCATTTTCTTTCACAGTTAGGTGGTAATATTCATTTGAACTTTTGTTGGCCTTTCAAAAAAATATGAAATGAAATGGTAAGTTAGTAATATTTACTTAGAAATTTTGTTGGCCATTCTTAAAATATGAAATTAGATACATTTACCATCTACAAAAGAATACTATAAAAAGCAGCATAATGATGAGTGGCAATAGCCCTTTATATATAAAAGAGCACCATTTTATAAATTTGTCAGCAGTTTACTCAAGGGATTTGATTTACATCAGATCTTGAAACAGACTACAAGTTGCCATATTTATGAGATAATATCTTGTTGAACTCTGAAACTAGCTAACACATTTAACCACTGGTCATTATACAGTATGACAAATTGGTTCATTTAAAACCAAGATTTTAACAAGGACATCATAAATGCCACTTTTTTTGGGCTCCAAACATGTTTAAGACACTCAATATATAAATGACAAATATGTTGTATGTAAACAAGATAAATTCATATAAATTAAAATGAAAATTGCCATATAATATCATAATTGGAGTTTACATATTCTTAAAATGATGGTTATTATTTCAGAAATAATTTATTTAACATTATACACACTATACAGGAATAAAGTGAAAAAAACATAAAGCTCCCTCCTGCCTTTTAAGTCTTAAAGACACCATGTATAGACATGTTTTGGCATGTTAAATCCCTGTCTATAGTGAACAAAATGCTTGGTATAGATAGTTTTCAACCTGCTAAAACTTAACAGTGTTCAATATGAACAAAATATGCAGTTCCCGACTTCTGAGGATTTTGATGTAAGAGGGTGTCACTTCACTATGATTCTGACTAAATCAGGATTTCAAATATTATGCACCAATAAAACACCATCTGGTTATACATATCGGACAAGAAATGGCTCAATTGAAGCTGTCAAAAAATATAAACCTTGCATCATATTTACAATCATAAAAGGATTATACTAAATATGTCTGATTAAAAGAACAAGATCTAGTTTTATCGCACCTCGGATAAATAGTGACATTGTGATTGGTTTAACGGCGTCACATGGTGACCCCCTATGTATCCATATGGGGTTAGTAGATTTCATATGGGGTTCATGACGTCACATATACTATTAATGGTGACATCATCTATTAATGTTATTGTATTTCATTGTTTATTTTTATACAAAACTTGACAGGAAAAGTCCTGTGTGATATAAATTTGTTGTACGGTTCACTACTGACCCTCTCCGGATCCATAGAGAGTTAGTAAAATCCATGGGGGATGAGGTCGTAGGGGGTCAGTAGCAAACCATATAACTTATAATAGCATTCATTTTTTCTTGCAACTGTCAAAAATATAAAATTCAACAAAATGAAAATTTGCGATTGTGTTGTAAATAAAATGACAAAACTGAATTGTTTTTTTCCATAACCAAGACAACTACTTATAAATCTTCAATGGATTGCCGGCAATTTTTAAAAAGTTTAACCTAAATTTGAAATATATAAAAAATCATGAGGGCTATTCCATTAAAATGTATGTAGAGGGATAGGAAGGGACTTTCAAAATATCCCTACAACCAAGAACCATTTTTTAGATAATTTTGCATAATTGTAATAGACGCATACTGAAAAAAGACCCATGACCCACATTCAATATTTAAACTTCCCTTCCTACCCTCCCACATACATTTTAATGGAATAGCCCCGAGTATATACAAATTTCTTAATATAAGGAGTATAATAGTTGATGGTATTATTTGATTCTTTAAATGCTAGAAAAACCTTCATCAACAGAATCAAAATTAATCAAAATCAGACATTGCATTTGATTATAAAGATCTAAACACAGATTACCCGTACACACATCATCTAATAAATGAATAAAAGAAAGGGTAGAAAATGTCTTCCACATTACTGTGGATCAATGAACATCAGAGCTGTTAACTGGAACCCAACAGATGGTTTACTGCAATAAGACAGTTACATGAATTGAATCCAGATTTTCTGCAGTGGTGAATCAAGAATTTTTTTGAAAGGGAGCGAGGATGAAAACATTTTTGGACAACTTTATGTGAAAATATCAAATAAATCGTGAGAAACTTAAGATTTTTTTAATTAAAGGCTGATCAAGAGATCTGCCAATGTAAAAATATATTAATAACTATTCATAAAATAGTATATTAAGGACCTCCATTCAAAATTTAAAATATGTTGGAGTGTAGGAACTTACAAAAAAAAACCAACCCATAACCAACATGCTTTCTTTAATTAAATTTGCATAAATGCAAAATGGACACACAAATATAAATGAATAAGACTCATGTCTAAAAACTTCTGTTCTAATCCTCCCACATTCATTTAAATTGAATAACTCTAAATATAAATACTTAAAAGAAATTGTTTTTATGTTACACATTCTGTAAATATATATTAGAAAAAAATGTTTAAAAACATATTGCAACAATTATTTGTAGTGATTGTATCATGCCAAAAAAAACCCTTTCAATACTTTGGGGAAAAGCATCAATAAAATCATAATTGGACAAAAGAGAGAAGATCAGAAAAGTAGCTTTAATTTTCCAAGTTTTGGAAAACATATACTCTTGGTAAGTACTATTTCATATGTTTATGGAAAAACCAACTGTAGATATTTTCCAAAAATAATAATAGGAAAATAGGCCAAAACGTTGCTTCAATTTGATCTAAAGCTGTAGTCATTGTCAGAAATTTGCTTAAATGCAAAAATAAAAGAAGTTGCTCAGGCTCAAATGGGGATCTGTGAACTATTTAGTATCATCATAATGAACCAGACAATTTACTTAAATTGCAGAATATATCAAATTGGTATCCTGTATTTAGAAATAACTGCAAAAAATAATACTACAAGATCAATATTGCACTAATTAATCTAAAATACTGTGATTTAAAGATGTAAGGTAAACTGCAATCAACAAAATGAAAAAAAACATCTAATTGATAAAGTATACACATGAGGTCTTCAACAATAGACAAGGGTCTCTCTATGCCAATGTTCTAAATCACATTGAGTCTTAAACAATGAGTCTAAAATAATTTAACAAAGATTATAAAAGATCTGAAAGTAACTGATAAGGGTACTTTCTGACTTAAAACAGACACTTGAACAATTAAAGACAATTTGAAACTTGGTTTTTATGCACTCAAAGCTGCTCCTTTTAACTCACATTTTTATAGCCTCCCCCATTTAACCCAAATTTGTATACCTCCTCTTAAAAATCCTATTTTCATAACTTAAAATACAACATACAAACATTAGAAAAAAAAAATAGGAAGAAATTTGCCACATAAAATAAACATTTAAAAATTCTAAATGTAACGTATATTATGCATAAATTAAAGATTAGTTTTCATAAAATGTCCCTCCTTACAATATCGCTCACATGTACATCTACATGTACCTAACCACTAACTCAACAATATCAATGAACAAATATTTTTCTATTGTAAACATATTACCTTTCTTCATCTCTCACAGCATAAAATAAAATGCTCTGCTGGGGCGCAGCTTGATACGACCGCAGAGGTCAAACCCTGAACAGTTGGGGCAAGTATGGACACAACATTCAAGCTTGATACAGCACTGAATTTGGATTGTGATTAAATATTTGACACAGCATAGGTTTCTCACACAGAATGAAAGTGGTCTAAGAACTTAAAAAATTTTAATTTACCTATTCAAACCATATCATTATTATTTGCTTTTATATATAAATCAGAAATAACCAATTTAAAATGGAAAATTTAAAAAAAAAAAGGAAAAAAAAATCCCTCCCGAAATTTTTTGAACCCCCTTATGATTCATCACCACCAAACTCACTCCCAGCCTTCCCTTTGTGGTATGGTATCTTGCAGTACAATTTCAGAGAGATCCATACACTTGAACACAAGTTATTGTCTGGAAACTAGAAAAATGCTTGTTTTTTTGCCCTTTTATGGCCCCTAATTACTAAAATTTTGAGGGAATTACCCCCAAAATCATTCCCAGCCTTCCCTTTGTGATATGGTACCTTGCAGTACAATTTCAGAGAGATCCATACACTTGAACACAAGTTATAGTCAGGAAACTAGAAAAATGTTTATTTTTGGCCCCTTTTTCCTAAAGTTTTTGGGCAATTACCCCCAAACTCAATTCCAACTTTCCCTTTGTGATATGGAACCTTGTAGTACAATTTCATAAAGATCCATACAATTACACACAAGTTATTGTCATGAAACTAGAAAAATGATTGTTTTTTGCCCCTTTTTGGCCCCTAATTCCTAAAATTTGAAGGCAACTACCCCCAAAATCAATCCCAGCATTCCCTTTGTGATATGGAACCTTGTGATACAATGTCAGAGAGATCCATAGACTTACACATAAATTATTGTCATGAAACTAGAAAAATGCTTGTTTTTTGCCCCTTTTTGGCCCCTAATTCCTAAAATTTGGTGGCAATTATCCCCAAAATCAATCCCAGCATTCCCTTTGTGATATGGAACCTTGTGGTACAATGTCAGAGAGATCCATACACTTACACACAAGTCATGTCTGGAAGTTACAAAAATGCTTATTTTTGGCCCCTTTTTGGTCCCTAGTTCCTTAACTGTTGGTACCATAACCCCCAAAATAAATCCCCACCTTCCTTTTGTGGTATTGAACCTTATGGTAAAATTTCATTGAGATCCATTCACTTAAACTAAAGTTAGATTGCGAAAACTAATGTGTCTTCGGACAACAACGACGACGCCAATGCCATACCAATATACGACCACAAAAATTTTTTTGCGGTCGTATAAAAATTGGATAAGAATTTTTCAAGTATAATTTTTAACCATAGTCTTGTCAAACTAGACAAAATGACTGCATGATAGCAATCTTTTATTTAATTTTGATGTAGAACAATTTTTCTTTTGACATGGAATTTTTTTAATAAACTTTTAACAAACAGATAAAAAATAAAGAACTGTTGCATCATTATACAATTTCCAAACGTATGGCTATACCAACTGAAAGCAGTTCCAAGGGACATCATTTCAAATGTAGCTCAAGTAACCCATGTTGTGAAACAGTTTTTACCATTTTAATTTTACACTATTGTACAATAAAGTAAGTACCACCTTTCTGATTATTAGACTAGTTATACAGTGAGACATACTTAAATCTTAAGCTACTGAAGATCCATTACCATTTATAAAATACCAGTACAATCTATGCATATCTCAAATGACATTTTGATATTTAACTACATGTATAAGCAAATTCTTCTGAAAATAGTACAAGATATTTCTTCATTACTTCCACAAAATTCAGCAGCATAAAATAAATTTTAAGAGTAGTTTTTATGAATCAATCAGATCTAAATTATTCAGATTATTTTCCTACATTCTGTGGAATGTTATGGAATGCTTCATGCGTTGTCACGGCTAAAACAATATAATACCACCGAAACATTTGTTCATGTTCATGTGTTCAAAATTCAGGTCATCCCAGCCTCTTATGCCTGCAGTTTTCCTGAAGAGGCTGTTAAATTCGTGTAATAAAATCAGCTTGGATTTCTGAAATATTATTCTTGGGCCTGTTATATATTTTTTTTGGAAAAATTATTGACAGTATAACTCCCATCCCTCCACCCCAAAAAAAAATTACATCCACAAATAAAATGATTCTTCAGCAAATGACACAAATTAAACCTAAAAGTTAAAACATTAACTTGTCAAGGTTTTCTTTAAATATGCTATAACATCTTTATTATCAAGAATCTCCATATGCTCGGCTCCTTTGACAGGAACATGATAAATCTTCTGTGGTTGTTTCCCTTGCCAGTGTAAACATCCCTTTAGACTTCGGATATTCACTGTACCATCACCATCATCTGACCTCACATTTGGTTGTGAATCTGGCCACATATTGCCTGTATACACCAGAGTTCCAGGCGTTGGAATGCCGTAACCATGGACACAATGAACTTCCACACCAGGGGGTGTCAGTGATCTGATAAGATTTGCTGTGTCCTGTCTCATGTACCACCCATCCATGAAATTAATATCCATGAAGAATTGTTTATAATCATTGACTGTATAATTCCTTCCAGGTCGTTCTATCAGGACTTCATCCTTACCCCAAAACATATCAGATGGCATCAGCCAAGCAGAGCTAGGCATAGATCGCTGTTGAACTCTCACATTTAATGCTTTTACAAAGGCTACGCCCAGGTTATCGCCTGCAATTAATAAATTAATACATATAACTTTTGTATTGGTGATGCTGGGTTTTAACAACAACATCAAGATTATCACCTGTAATGAACCAATCGATACACATATTTCTTTCTTATTGGTGATGCTGGGTTTTAACCAAGACTACGCCCAGATTATCACTTGTAATGAACCAATTGATACAAATATTACATTTTTATTGGTAATGCTGGGTTGCAAACTCAACAAAAACTTTATTTAGAAGTATATAATGATTCCAAAAATATTATCACAACATTTAAGTAAGAAATTGTGCATTTCTGTAATAGAAGTTCTGCATTTCTGTAATAGAAGTTTTGACTGTTGTTTATTTATTTTTGTAATTCATATAAACAGGAAAAAAAAGTTAATACACTTTTCATATAGTAAGTACAATGGATTCAATATTTTCTAACAATTTTTGGTATATTGATCTTTTTTAACGTTTGGTATAAATTTCTGGAACTAAGGGGAAATAATTCAACTTGATGTTACTCCAAGTCAATTAATTTTAAAACAAACCCCTTTGTGTAATTATCTAGTTGGTACTTGTATAATTTGTTTGTTTGTCAGTTCAAAACTATTTGAAATCAAACAAAACCCCTGTACAGAAAGTAAAATAGGATTTTTCAATGTCATCTTAAATATATCTATTTTGACGGCATTACCCCTGAACAAACAGTTTGCAGTTTAAAATTATTTCATTTCTAATTTGGATTTCATTTTAGGGAAATCTGAAATTAAAAGTAAAATTTTTAGTGAAAAAAATCTGGACAAATGAGAATATACCTTGTATTTTATCAAACATAAATTTTAGTGTTCTTTCTGATGCATATAACTCCTCAAAATAAAATGCTTCGCTGGGCGCAGCTTGATACCACCGCAGAGGTCGAACCCTGAACAGTTGGGGCAAGTATGGACACAACATTCAAGCTTGATACAGCTCTGAATTTGGATTGTGATTAAATATTTGACACAGCATAGGTTTCTGACACAGAAAGAATGTGGTCTAAGAACTTGAATCTTTTTAATTTACCCATTATGGTTAAATGTCCAAAATCAAAATACATGGTTAGATTCAGCATATCAAAGAACCCCATATATTCATTTTTTGTTGAAATCAAACAAAGTTTAATTTTGGACCCCAACTTGGACAAACTTGAAAACTGGGCCCATAATCAAAAATCTAAACACATGTTTAGATTCAGCATATCAAAGAACCCCAAGAATTCAATTTTTGTTAAAATCAAACTAAGTTTAATTTTGGACCCTTTGGACCTTAATGTAGACCAATTTAAAAAAATGGGACCCAAAATTAAAAATCTAAATACATGGTTAGATTTGGAATATCAAAGAACCCTAATAATTCAATTTTTGATGAAATCAAACAAAGTTTAATTTTGGACCCTTTTGACCTCAATATGAACCAATTTGATAGCGGGGCCCACAAATAAAAAATCTAAATACATGGTTAGATTCAGCATATCAAAGAACCCCATATATTCAATTTCTGTTGAAATTAAACAAAGTTTAATTTTGGACCCCAACTTGGACCAACTTGAAAACTGGGCCCATAATCAAAAATCTAAACACATGTTTAGATTCAGCATATCAAAGAACCCCAAGAATTCAATTTTTGTTAAAATCAAACTAAGTTTAATTTTGGACCCTTTGGACCTTAATGTAGACCAATTTAAAAAACGGGACCCAAAATTAAAAATCTAAAAACATGGTTAAATTTGGCATATCAAAGAACCCCAATAATTCAATTTTTGATGAAATCAAACAAAGTTTAATTTTGGACCCTTTTGACCTCAATATGAACCAATCTGATAGCGGGCCCACAAATAAAAAATCTAAATACATGGTTAGATTCGGCATATCAAAGAACCCCATATATTCAATTTTTGTTGAAATCAAACAAAGTTTAATTTGGACCCCAACTTGGACCAACTTGAAAACTGGGCCAAAAATCTAACATCTAAATACATGTTTAGATTCAGCATATCAAAGAACCCCATATATTCAATTTTTGTTGAAATCAAACAAAGTTTAATTTTGGACCCTAACTTGGACAAACTTGAAAACTGGGTCCATAATCAAAAATCTAAACACATGTTTAGATTCAGCATATCAAAGAACCCCAAGAATTTAATTTTTGTTAAAATCAAACTAAGTTTAATTTTGGACCCTTTGGACCTTAATGTAGACCAATTTAAAAAACAGGACCCAAAATTAAAAATCTAAATACACGGTTAGATTTGGCAAATCAAAGAACCCCAATAATTCAATTTTTGATGAAATCAAACGAAGTTTAATTTTGGACCCTTTTGACCTCAATATGAACCAATTTGATAGCGGGGTCCACAAATAAAAAATCTAAATACATGGTTAGATTCAGCATATCAAAGAACCCCATATACCGGTATTCAATTTTTGAAGAAATCAAACAAAGTTTAAATTTGGACCCCAATTTGGACCAATTTGAAAACTGGGCCAAAAATCAAAAATCTAAATACATGTTAAGATTCAGCATATCAAACAACCCATATATTCAATTTTTGTTAAAATCAAACAAAGTTTAATGTTGGACCCTTTGGACCTTAATGTAGACCAATTTGAAAAATGGACCCAAAACTAAAAATCTAAATACACGGTTAGATTTGGCATAACAAATAAATAAATGTGGTCAAAGATTTTACAAATCTAATGCACCATACTGTGCAATTAAAGATTACTTCTTGAAATTTTTCAATATTTGAAATTTGAAAAAAAAAAAATATTTGAAGAATAATTCTTTTTAATTTCTGAAATCTGAAATGAGAAAAAATTGACCCCCCACAATTTCTTTTTACCCCCCCCCCCCCCTTTTTTCCCCCAAAAAATTCTTTCCCTCAAGATATGGTCATAATCTCAATTCAAATTTCCAATGGAGTTTGCAACCATAATTACCCATTTAAATTTACCATAGTGCTAACTTAATCTATTTTATAATAGAATTTAAAATATAGTGTCAAATCTTTCATATGAATTTTTTTGTAAAAAAAAAAAGATGCAACATTTGCAGATATTTTTACTGGTCTTCCTTTATAAATATGCATTTCTATAAACATAATTTAAAAGCAGTGTAAGGGAAGTAACCAAAACGTTGTATTTGGATAACCTCCCTTACACTGTTTTAAATTATCTTAATTGTTCATTAACCATTACTTTATACATAATTTAAAAGCAGTGTAAGGGAGATAATTTCAATGATGTATTTGATTTATCTCCCTTACACTGCTTTAAATTATGTTTTGTACTAAAGTATTTGTCCATTAACCAGGACAACCTTGTTTTTCCCCCTTTTTTGCCCCTAATTCCTAAACAGTTTGAGCCATAACCCCCCAAAGCAAATCCTAACCATCCCTTTGTGGTATGGAAACTTGTAGTATAATTTCAGAGAGATCCATACACCGTTCCACAGTTATTGTCTGGAAACTAGAAAATGCTTATTTTTGGCCCCTTTTTGGCCCCTAATTCCTTAACTGTTGGTACCATAACCCCCAAAATCAATCCCCACCTTCCTTTTGTGGTATTGAACCTTATGGTAAAATTTCAAAGAGATCCATTCACTTAAACTTAAGTTAGAGTGCGAAAACCAATGTGTCTTCGGACAACGACGACGACGACGCCAACGTCATACTAATATATGACCGCAAAATTTTTTTGCGGTCGTATAAAAATATATTTCTTACCTGAAGCAAAGAGTCTAAGTGGTTTGACTGATCCTCCCCATACACCAGCTAATGATATAAATGAATGAAGAAATTTATCTTTCCATGACTGTGGCTGGTGGTTAAGGAAGTACAGTGTGGTAGGATTCCCCATGCTGTGGCCTAGCAAGACTACTTTAGTATTGTTGTTTAGAGCATACGTTTCCTCAACTAAAGTTCTCAAATTCTGGTAAAAATCAGCATATTCATCTGGAAAAAGTGAAAGGTTTTCTAAAGTTATGCATGAAAATCATTCACACTTAAATACTAAATCAATGTTATACAATAAATTCTGTTTTTACATTAAGTACCACTAGTCAACTATGAAGATTTTTTCTTAGTGAATTTTTCGTGGTCAATGGGAGAAAACTCATGTTAAAAAAAAAAAAATGATTTCTACAAATACCTTGTAACCCTAGTGTTTTTTATAAATAAGATAAAAGTAATATCTTGCTAAAATATTTTATCACCTCAAGGTCATCAAGTTCATAATTAAAATTAATTTTCACAATATGAATATACTTTGATTTGTATAAGACTTGTTTGGATGGTACATTTTAAGTGTTAAAAAAAACAAAAATTGCATTTTCCCTTGAAATGTTTGATGAGTTAAGCCTTTTTTCAATTAAAGTTTTATAGTGTGTCCTTTTATGTCGTATTGTTACACCACTGTCTCAGGTTAGGGTGAAGGTTGGTGCCAGATAAAACGTTCAAACCCACTGCATTTGTTTGCACCTATTTTAAGTCAGGAACCTGATGTTCAGTGGTTGTCGTTTGTTGATGTGGTTCATAAGTGTTTCTCGTTTCTTGTTTTTTATATAGATTAGACCGTTGGTTTTCCTGTTTGAATGGTTTATCACTAGTCATTTTTGGGGCCCTTTATAGCTTGCTGTTCGGTGTGAGCCAAGGCTCCGTGTTGAAGGCAGTACTTTGACCTATAATGGTTTACTTTTACAAATTGTGACTTGGATGGAGAGTTGTCTCATTGGCACTCATACTACATCTTCTTATATCTACTTAACTATCACATTGAACTGGATTTTTAATTATACTAAGTCAAGAGATTAGAGTCTGCAAGAAAAATGTAACTCCACCTTAACACATTATTCTGAGTTGAGTTCAAGCTGACCTGTATATGCTCTTGTAAATTATGAATTTTAAAGTCAATGACCAGGTATCAAACGCAAGACAGTCCCATTCCAGTTGGGCACTCTACAATCAGACCACTGAGACACATTTTTTAAAAACTGATGTGGTTAAAGTTAATACGACACATGTACATGATATATATATGTATTTCCACCTATGTACTACTGTCATGATAGTCTGATTCCTGTGTGAAATACTGTTTATGATTTTTATAAATGTGAATAATGCGACTGGGTGAGTATCAAAATAATAAGAACTGGCTTTCTGATATCTTATACATATATCTGTATGCAGATTTTCCCGAAATCGCAAAAAATATTCTCACATTCTTGACCATTCTTCAAAAATAGCAATTATTAATGCACGCATCAATTTCTGAATTTACAGTATTTAATGAAGTTATTACACTTACTTGGAGCTTTCCTGAAGTCATATGGAGCACCTCTTACTGACACATTTCTCTCATATCCCCATTTTACCATGGCATTAACAATGGGTGAAAAGTAAGATGCTGAAAAGAAACAAAACTTCTATATTCTGATAAGAATTCCTATGAATTTTCTGTTTTTAAATAAACCCCATTTTATGTAATAATACAGATTCTTATAGATTTTGTTTATATGGGTTTGTGCAAATCAGATATGTTGTTATTCAGGGTTTAAGCTAGGATTTTGAGGGCTTTAGTCACTTTTGCGTGGGATGAAAATCAACCTTAATAGGGTAGCAGCAAGGGACCTAGGATGTATATTACTATCTATACATCTTTGTCAGACTTTGAAGGACTTAGGCATACTAGGCAGTTACTGCATGATTTCACTGATGTGGCACTTTAATATGAAGATTAGGATATAAGATCTAGAAATCTAGTTCACAATTTTATTTCAGTTAGTTTCAGGGTACATTCCTAATCAGCAAAAGTTGGTATCCATTTTTTTTTAAACTAGGAATCACAGCATAAATGAACTTCTAAGGACTATTTCACTGCATTATTCATACTCATTATCCTTAAAAACGTTTTAAAGCGATATTTAGAATTAATTCTATATGGTTGGAACCAAGGATTTGTACAAATTCTTATTGGAACAATTCTAATGACTTTAAATTGTAAATTTATCATGAATAGATCACGTTTACTTTCGATTTCGAAATGAAATGAAAACGGGAAGTGACAATTGGATAATAAATTCAGAATGAATCCGGATTCATTTACGGATTGGTTCGTGTTTAAAAAAGGCATTATCATTTTTTAAATTAAATTTGTTAAATAAGAACTATATCTGTCTCTCTCGTTTAGTTTGATACTTAATTATTTCGTATTTTACGTTTTAATGTCGTTAAATTCATAAGAATACTTTCGCGCATGCGCAGTTCATCGTAAAGGAAGCACCTATTTGACTCGTGAAAACATTTCTGAATGTTATGAATAAAGTTCTATCTTTTTAATCGGAATTGTCGAAAGTTTTTGATTAAAAGTTATATCAAATATGACGAAAATACGTTCGTTTGACGAAACTAGGACAAGCGAACTGCAAATTGCAATCGTTTGAGAAATATTGAAATTAAAATGCGAACTGTCTGAGGGAAAACTCAAATGACGAAACTACGACAAACGAACTGCAAATTGTGATCGTTTGATAAATATTGAAATTGAAATGCCGACTGACTGATTTTACTGGGGAAAATAATTATGATGATCAATTATGAGGTTGATAAATAATTAACGGATTAGTGACCCATCCGATGGCGATAAGCGGATTATCTGTAATCACAACTTATAACACCTTTTGTAAATGTTAATTAGCTGAGGGTCATAAACTTGTCAGAAACAATAAGACAGGTAGAATTATAGTAGTTTCATGCGAAAATATTTTTACTCTTTCCAAATTTAAGTGACGAAATTGATTTGGAATACTTTCGTCATTTTGAAAACCATTTCGTAAATGACGAAAATGACAAGCGCTAGCAAAATCACTGTGTTATTTCTTTTTGAATCAGTAAAATGTATGTTGCCAATGGATGGTACACCTAAGCTGCGATGTCTGTTTTTAATGGTACTCATTACTTTTTCATAGTTTAATAAATTGCTTCGCCAAGCGCAGCTGGATACGACCGCAGCTGGATACGAACGCAGAGGTGGACACAATATTCGCGCTTGATACAGGTCTGAATTTGGATTGTAATTAAATATTTGACACATAATAGGTTTCTGACACAGAATAACTGCAGTCAAAGAACTTAGAATTGGTTATATGATTTGAATTTATATTCAATTTCTTGCTTTTGTGCAATACACTGTGATGTTGCGGAATACATTGTGAATCTGTTTTCAGACGATTTACAAAGAATTAACAATTGTGACACAAAATTTTTCTTTGGAAAATTAACAATTTTTTAAATCTTGAAGAAAAATTGACTCTCCCAAAAATTATTTTGTTTAACCCCCCCTTTTTTTGTCAAAAAAAAAATATTTGAAGAAAATTAATATACCTTCATCAGCATTTAATAGTAACTTCTAAAAATAAATTGACAGCTAATCACCTCAAGACAATACAACATTTCTTTATAACAAAACCATTATAAGAGAGGTAACTCTTAATGCTAAAATAAACTGCTTCGCTGAGCGCAGCTAGATACGCCTGCAGAGGTCCAACCCTGAACAGTTGGGGCAAAAATGGACACAATATTCTAGCTTGATTCAGGTCTGAATTTGGATTGTAATTAAATATTTGACATATTATAGGTTTCTGAATAAATGTAGTCAAAGAACTTGAAATTGGTTATATGAATTGAATTTATATTCAATTAAAGATTTCTTGCTGTTGTGCAATAGTCCCCAATACTTAGTAAATCTGTTGTCAGATTATAAACAAATAAAGTTCAATTAATTCTCAATGTCATATTAGAAATTTTTGGAATTAAAAAGGGAGAATACATCAATAGATATAAACAATTCACCAAAGTTTCATGAGAATTGGTGACAGCATTTTTGAGTTATTGTCCGAAAACTGGAAAATCACCCCTTTTTTTAATGAATAAAACCCCATAACTCAGAAATGTAAAATGTAAAATTTATAAAATTCTAAAGGTAGCTTACATCAATACATACAAACAATTCACCAAAGTTTCATACGAATTGCTGAAAGAATTTTTGAGTTTTTGTCCGAAAACTGGAAAATCCCCCCTTTTTTTATGAATAAAACCCTGTAACTCAGAAACGTAAAATTTAAAATTTATAAAAATCGAAAGGGAGCTCATGTCAATAGATATAAACAATTCACCACAATTTCTTGCAAGTTGGTGAAAGCATTCTTGACTTATTGTCTGAAAACTGGAAAATCCCACTTTTTTTAATGAATAAAACCCCATAATTCGGAAACGTAAAATCTAAATTTAATAAAACTACGAAAGGGAGCTCACGTCAATAGATATAAACAATTCACCAAAGTTTTATGCAAATTGGTGAAAGTATTTTTGAGCTAATGTCGGACATGTTGACGACGGACAGACGGACAACAGTATACCATAATACGTCCCATAAACGGGCGTATAAAAACCCAAACAAATGATATTGATCACAAATAAACAATTCTGAATATGAAAATGTATTACCACTGAACCCTTTGATATACACTATTATTATATTAAAAGTCTAAATTGAAAACGTTTAAACCTATGATTGCGTTGGATAAAAACCGCAATTTTTATACGTGTGCATGTAAAACAAATTTCTTGGTAGAGGGGTCTAAATACAGCACAAACAACAATTTCCAAAAGACCAAAAAAAGTGAAAAAAGTCTATTTTAACAAAATGCATTTGACTTACAGGTCGAACAACTGATGTTCTTAAACCCTGCTGACTGCCATTGGCGATTGCCAAATAAATTGATCACCAGATCTAACAAAATGGATCTTAATATTAATTTAATACCAAACAGAAAACAATAAACTTGTGGAAAAGATGGTATACCACAAACATGAGGTGCAAAAATTTGTACACCATATCCCGATTTCGACAATTAATGTCTCTTCAGTGATGTTAGGGATCGAAACGGTATTTGGAAGGCCATATAGTTTACCTAAATTTAGGAAAGACTCTTGAATTTTAAAGAGTCGAAATAGGATGAACAGATCATATAAACCTGAAGGAAAATATAATACAAGCCCAAACAATAAAATATATAAAAGTCTAAACTGAAAACAACAACAAACCTATGATTGCGTTGGATAAAAACCGCAATTTTTATACGTGTGCATGTAAAACAAATTCCTTGGTAGAGGGGTCTAAATACAGCACAAACAACAATTTCCAAAAGACCAAAAAAAGTGAAAAAAGTCTATTTTAACAAAACGCATTTGACTTACAGGTCGAACAACTGATGTTCTTAAACCCTGCTGACTGCCATTGGCGATTGCCAAATAAATTGATCACCAGATCTAACAAAATGGATCTTAATATTAATTTAATACCAAACAGAAAACAATAAACTTGTGGAAAAGATGGTATACCACAAACATGAGGTGCAAAAATTTGTACACCATATCCGGATTTCGACAATTAATGTCTCTTCAGTGATGTTAGGGATCAAAACAGTATTTGGAAGGCCATATAGTTTACCTAAATTTAGGAAAGACTCTTGAATTTTAAAGAGTCGAAATAGGATGAACGGATCATATAAACCCGAAGGAAAATATAATACAAGCCCAAACTATAAAATATATAAAAGTCTAAATTGAAAACAACGTTCAAACCTATGATTGCGTTGGATAAAAACCGCAATTTTTATACGTGTGCATGTAAAACAAATTTCTTGGTAGAGGGGTCTAAATACAGCACAAACAACAATTTCCAAAAGACCAAAAAAAGTGAAAAAAGTCTATTTTAACAAAACGCATTTGACTTACAGGTCGAACAACTGATGTTCTTAAACCCTGCTGACTGCCATTGGCGATTGCCAAATAAATTGATCACCAGATCTAACAAAATGGATCTTAATATTAATTTAATACCAAACAGAAAACAATAAACTTGTGGAAAAGATGGTATACCACAAACATGAGGTGCAAAAATTTGTACACCATATCCCGATTTTGACAATTAATGTCTGTTCAGTGATGTTAGGGATCGAAACGGTATTTGGAAGGCCATATAGTTTACCTAAATTTAGGAAAGACTCTTGAATTTTAAAGAGTCGAAATAGGATGAACGGATCATATAAACCCGAAGGAAAATATAATACAAGCCCAAACGATAAAATATATAAAAGTCTAAATTGAAAACAACGTTCAAACCTATGATTGCGTTGGATAAAAACCACAATTTTTATACGTGTGCATGTAAAACAAATTTCTTGGTAGAGGGGTCTAAATACAGCACAAACAACAATTTCCAAAAGACCAAAAAAAGTGAAAAAAGTCTATTTTAACAAAACGCATTTGACTTACAGGTCGAACAACTGATGTTCTTAAACCCTGCTGACTGCCATTGGCGATTGCCAAATAAATTGATCACCAGATCTAACAAAATGGATCTTAATATTAATTTAATACCAAACAGAAAACAATAAACTTGTGGAAAAGATGGTATACCACAAACATGAGGTGCAAAAATTTGTACACCATATCCAGATTTCACTATTATTATATTATATATACTTCCATCACAGTATTTGATGTTTCTAGAAACAGCTAAAAAATAATTCATACTAGAACTAGCTGACAACTTTACATAATTTAAAAGCAATGTCAGGGAGGTAATTCAAATATAACATTGAAATTATTATCTTTTAAATTTTATTTAATGTTTATCAAATCAAACAAAACAAATTTTATAGCCTTAGGACCAAAATTTGGACCAATTAGAAAATGGGCCCAACAACCAAATACACAGTTAGATTCAGCATATGAAAAAAATTGTAATACTAATAGCATGAAAAATTGTAATACTTATAGCAAAAAGTCCCAACATAAAGAATCAAAGCTTTCTCAAAATCAAAATCCCAAAATATTGTTCTCTTCTATATACTGTAAAATATCATGAAACAATCAAATGCTATCCCTTATATAATGCTTAATAATCCAATATCTATTTCATAGAGATCCAAAGACCAATACTTAAGTAATTGTCCATTAACCAGGAAACCCTTGTTTTCCCCCCTTTTTTGCCCCTAATTCCTAAACGGTTTGAGCCATAACCCCCCAAAGCTAATCCTAACCATCCCTTTGTGGTATGGAAACTTGTGGTATAATTTCAGGGAGATCCATACACTGTTCCACAAGTTATTGTCTGGAAACTAGAAAAATGCTTATTTGGCCTAATTCCTAAACTCATGGGACCATAACCCCCAAAATCAATCCCCACCTTCCTTTTGTGGTTTTAAACCTTGTGTTTAAATTTCATAGATTTCTATTTACTTATACTAAAGTTATTGTCCGGAAACCAAATGTCTTCGGACGACGCTGACGACGACATGATACCAATATACAACCGCAAAATTTTTTGCAGTTGTATAAAAATCATGATCGTGATGTAAGCTAAAACCAATTATATATGCAAAGGATCATCCTGCTTAAATTACTGGTCTAAGATACCTAAATCTGTTACTGATTAGAAAAACTAAATTTAGACACACCCACATGAACATCTTATACTTACTAGGACTAATATGTGAAGGATCAAGCCACTCCACAGTCCTTGTATCTCCCCATCCTGGAATCTTTGTTTCAACACCTGGTGGATTATGGGTTATATGTTTCTCCCTGTCATATAATACTCTGAAATATAGGAACAGCATGCATATTCATAATTTATATTGCAGGAAGATATAAATGACACATACAAAAACAATAGGTAATGCTGGAACCTGAAAAGTCATACATATAACATATATCATATTTTCTAGACCAAATATATCAATCTATCACGTTAACAGCAGACTTGTGAAAATCAAATTTGGGTTTTGATACTTTACTACATCTAAATAACCTCGATTTTATGCCAGTTGACCTAATCATGCTAATGACAGTTGCAAAACAATTGTTCTTAGTCTTTTACAACAACTGTTTTCTATTGCACCCCTCTACCATTACAGGAAAAAATATATTTCCTTCAATGGCAGACATTCATATTGTAAAGTTAGATGTGTCATGTGGTCTGCAATGGTGAAGAAGCATCCATAACTAAAATAATTATAATATTTTTTTTATTTAAAAAAAGTGGGTACACATAACACAACTAGCTGTACAACCAATCTGCCATGAGGACCTCATGGCCTAACATTTTCTATACTGCACTGAGTCTTGAAAGGTGTGATCAATTCAAAAGAGATGATCTTCCAGTGTTCTCCCCAGATATTTCATATAGCATCCTGGTAAACAGGGAAATTTGAAATACCATCTTGTTTCTAAAAATTATAGATTCACATCCATAACACAACCTATAAGAAAATCAATTCAATACATGTAGCATCACATTCAAGAAATATAGCATCACATTACCATGATGCTAAAAGGCCCTTGGGAGAACACTGGATCATCCATTGTACATGTTGTATATCTGACAACAACAAAAAATTCACAATAGACAAAATTTCTAACAAGCAGCGAAAGTTGTATCATTCAATATAGGTATATGTAAAATTAAATACTTGCACATGTACAATGTATTTAATTTAACAATGAAAAAATCTGTTATTTGCAACTTTAATCACAAAGTTGCTATTTTATTTGGCCTTATAATAATCATTGTAAACATGATAAAAAGTAATTTTCAGGATGAGGGACAGGAAAACATGTTTTTTCCTGTTGTTTTTTGTTAACATTATGTAACATAATATGATAAATTCTTAATTTATAAACACATATTTATAATCACTGATGTATTATACAGATATCATATAAATTGTACATGTACCTGTAGAAAATGTATTAAATAATTAGGTATAAATTCACAAAACAAATTTTTAAAATCATTTTACTTTGACATACCTCATGTTATCAGTAAAGCAATCTATTACAAATGGAGCTAACTCTTCAAGATTTAACCATAAACTAAAGTAGTAATCTGTATGGAGAACACACCATGAATGAGGAGCAGTTGTCTTGTTTAGTTTTGCTACAAATTCACTTCCACCATCACCAGGTACTGAAAAATATTCAAAGAATTGAAAATTAAGTGAAGATTTTTTTCTATGTAGTTTCCAGTATCCAGTCTTAATTTCTTACTGTCCTTATATCAGCAACTGAGCAAGTCAAAAAAATCTTTAGATGAAAAAATTCCACATGTGTATTAAAGGGGCATTAGCTACGAGATATAAAAAAAATAAAAATATGATTTTTTTTTTGTTCAATCATTAATGAAAGTGAAATAGTGAAATAATAATCCGCTTTTAGCAGCCAGTTTAGTTCAATTTTGTCAAATTAAGCTAAGAAACATCGCTGATGAATTATTCACTTGCAAGTGAATAATTCGACCTCATTCAATCCATATTCATGTGACCTTCAATTTAACCCATTAGCTAGAGATTGGTTACACATGTATTAGTCGTGTTCTGCCATTAAAAGGAAAAAAATGTCAACTTTGAAAGTGAAACAAAGCCTGTTGTTCAGTGGTTTGTCGTTTGTTGGTGTGGTTCATAAGTGTTTCTCATTTCTCGTTTTTTATATAGATTAGACTGTTGGTTTCCTGTTTGAATTTTTTTACACTAGTCTTTTAGGGGACCTAGCCCTTTATAGCTTGCTGTTCAGTGTGAGCCAAGGCTCTGTGTTGAAAGGCCGTCCTTTAACCTATAATTGTTTACTTTTTACACATTGTGACTTTGATGGATAGTTGTCTCACTGGCACTCATACCACATCTTCTTATTTATATGAACCATTTCATTGACTGATTCGATCCACAAAAAATCATTCTTATACAGGTAAAAACAATGATAAACTTATTTTTTTAACCAATAACATGAAATCAAACACACCTAGAAAAGTCCAATTGCACGAGGTCGCTATCTATTTATATTTATGTTTATGTTTATGCATGTTATGTAGGGTTACATGTATGTGACCATCGGCAGTCTTTGGAAGGTCGTCTCGATGGTAAATCAGATGGTGTCTAGACTAGTCTACACACGAAATGCTGATATATATTATCCCGTCCATGCATTGTTAATTGTTTATTTCAGACTTTTTGTAATTTGGATATACGTTTTAGTATGTTATAGATCAAACATGAGAATTTGAGTCAAATTGGTGAACATGAATTTGACAACTAATGCCCCTTTAATGCTGCATTCCTTCACTGAAATTCAAATATCTTCCAAATTGAGTTTCATTGTCGATTTACACACTTGGCTTATTCATGGCCACAATGGGGGAGGAAGCCACAGACCCTGGGGGTATTTAATTACCTTTTGAAAGCAGGTAAAAATTATAAAATGTGTATTTCATCTTATTTCCTAATAACCTTTATTTTTGACGTATCATATCTTACATGCATATGTCTAAAGACATTTTGAATTAAAATTCATTTCGGTACTTTATTGTATTTAACTTTTCCATCTGATTTGATGTGCATAAATATACTTTAAAAATAAAGATTATACAAGCTAATTGCAAATTGTTTGATTTTTTGTATCTTATCTTTTCCATCTGAATTGATGTACTTTAAATATAAGGATAATATGCAAATTGTTTGATTTTTGTGAGATTTTTACATTCAACCTTGTATAAAATGTGACTTTTTTGTCAATCATTAAAACTTCAAGATTCTATAATTTATTTTTACCAAAATTTCACTCTTTTTCTTATTACATATTTCATGTGATTGTCATTAAATGATTGGATACACAAGAAAATGTTTATTGTAGTCAACAACTACTGGCGCAATTTTACAGATCTATAAACATTGTTGGGCTGATGTTTAGACAAGTTGTATATATATATATATATATATATATATAAGTCTAGAGATTTGCACAACGATACTAATATAAGATGGTATTATACGAAGATGTTGTTAATAAATCGTGTTGACAAATATTTCGGCTTAACAAATAGCCTTCTTCGGTGTCAATTATTTTAACAATACTGTATTGTTAAAATAATTGACACCGAAGAAGGCTATTTGTTAAGCCGAAATATTTGTCAACACGATTTATTAACAACATCTTCGTATAATACCATCTTATATTAGTATCGTTGTGCAAATCTCTAGACTTATATAATTTTTTCCTTATCTGCACAGTATCGTCTATTCTAGACGATCCGGTACATAGTAAATTTGCTGGTTGGTCCTTTTTATAGACTTCTATATATATATATATATATACAAGTCTAAATTGAAAACAACATTCAAACCTATGATTTCGTTGGATAAAAACCGCAATTTTTATACGTGTGCATGCAAAACAAATTTCTTGTTAGAGGGGTCTAAATACAGCACAAACAACATTTTCAAAAAGACCAAAAAAGTATATTTTAACAAAACGCATTTGACTAACAGGTCGAACAACAAATGTTCTTAAACCCTGCTGACTGCCATTGGCGATTGCCAAATAAACGGATCACCGATGTTATAAATGGATCTTAATTATTTGTTATTTGAATGAACTGATGCCGTTTGTGGTGAAAACTATTGAGGACATTTGTCTTGTGTTTTATGTGTTTAATAAATTTTGAAGATGGTCACCGCACCTGACAGTCTCTATAATGGTGTTTGTCTTTATGAATACAGAAATAATTTCATTGCAAATAATTGAGATATACGTATTATTTTCCGTGGTTGGTATTAAGGTGTCGTCAGAAAATAAGGAGCTAAGAGTACATAAATGATTTATTTTCGGTTGAACAGAGTGAATTGAGAAAATAAATCTATATACATGTAAGAAAATTAAATCCTTTTTTTAATAGTTCTGATAAAGATTACAAATATACTGAAGTAATCATAATAATTCCCATGAATAGAAATGAATATCTAAAACATGTACAGTACATTTTGTACATCAGGGATTGAAGTTAAAATTATGGCATGGTAGCCAACAGCTTAAAATTTGTAGCCAATATATATACTACATGTAGTTCTATACAAAACAGCAGAAATTTTAGTAGCCCACACCAAATTTAAGGGGCCATTAGCGAGCGGGCCCCTGCTAAATTCAAACCCTGGTACATGTACATGTAGCTATACACGTCTGTGTCTTTCAAATTTCAGTTTTATCAATTCAATGAACTGCCCCAGTTACAATGTAACTTGGGATCATTTGGGGGGAAATTTGTCATAGGAAATTATGAAGATATTTGCATTGCAACCTCAATTATTTCCGGGAAAATGCATTAATTGGAAGATTGTGCATTCCCATGAATATAAAATTATAAATAGATATCTACATGTACAATACCTTTTGCATAATTATCATTATGGCCTATATTTATTGTAACACAAGGAATTTGTATACAAGAAACTCAAATCATTGTTCTGGAGTGAAAATGCATTTCAATTGATTAAAAACTATACATGTTCTTTAGAATTGAATTCTTCTTTTTGTAATTTAATAGAGGTGTACAAGTATTGAATGTGTGCACATTTTTTGTATGAAGAGCAGCCTTTGGTTTGTTTTAAGGTTGTTCTGAAGAATATCTGTACAATGTATGTATATTTTGTAGAATCCTAAAGCATGTATAGGCTTTATTACAAAAATGACAGAGAGCACAATTGGTCCTGATTGCGGCTTTATAGCTTGCTGTTCGGTGTGAGCCAAGGCTCCGTGTTGAAGGCCGTACTTTGACCATAATGGTTTACTTTTACAAATTGTGACTTGGATGGAGAGTTGTCTCATTGGCACTCATACCACAACTTCTTATATCTATTATGGTGCCACTTTAAAGCTTTTCTGTTGACTTAGCTGTCACTACAATGTATGCTGTCTACATGGTTGTTCCAGTCAACAGCAGTTCTGATGAAGAAGAAATTCTTAATTTGGTCAGTTGATGAATACTGGATTTTAACTGTTTTTATATTGACAATTGATGGATTGATTGTCTTTCCACAATGTTCGATATACATGTAATATAATACAGTCTTGTACTTTTTTTTTTATTGAATTTTGTGTCTTCTTGGCTTAGGATTATGTGATCAGAAGATCAAAGGCGGCATTGCTGGTACGTATACCTTGCCCTTAACAACCCTGTAGAAAAATATCAACTTCTGTTGTTTTGGTCTGTCTATGACTGAGCATGTGCAGTCATACATGAATCACAGTACTGTATCTTGTTTTGACGATTGATGCAAGATTTTATCTGATCTATCACAGCAATATATATATATATACCTTTTAACATCGAAATGTATTAGAGAAAAAAATATAAATTTGAGACAACTTCGAAAGATTTTCAGGTTTTTTAACAAACGAAACAAGTTAGTAACGTCATGTTTTTCCCCACTCATGCTTCACATCTGACATGTGCATGTGCAATTTATCATTTTTTCATCATTTGTTCGATTACCTGGAAGCTTCAAAACAAAGATGTACATTACCTAATATCACAGGATTCAGGATCTTACATTCACAATAAAAAATGAAGAATAAACAGGTAAATATCAAACGAAACATGTTTGATAAAAAATCGTAATTTAAGTCGTTAAGTAAGATGTATATAAATACAGAATCATACTTCCGGTTGGAATGATTTCCGGAAAGGAAACTTGTGACACGTCAAATGACAATGAGGTCACATCTTTTCTTAAAGCGGTCACAAATAATAATAACGCACATTATATAAGGCATTTAACTTATACAGATTCCCTCTCAGTATCACCATTGACCGGATGTAGGACGAGAATCTTCTTTTATTATTTTCTGTTTTACTGCCGTGACATGACCAATAGATTGTTCAAGTATTCCGAGTGGTCCAACATGTCAAGGAGGACCAATAGATATGGTATTAATCCCAGTTTACAGATTGATATGGTCAATTTAAATTTACTGACATTTCAGCTATTTTCCTTGTTTATAACATCACAATCTTATCATGGAAGCATATTTTCAGTCTTTTTGCGCAGGTATACTTGTCCCTGAAAAAATATCTTTTTTATATACTTGTCTCTGAATATTTTCAGGCCGTAACCTACATACCTTAATCAGAGACATATATAGGTCTCTGTCTGAATATATTGAGGTATATAGGTAATGTTTTACCTTATACCTTAATATATCAAGGTTTATAGCCTATAAAAACGGTTAAAAAAAACCCAGAGACTGTGCTATTGTGTGCTACCCTTCAGTTATTCTTATTTCTTGCTGAAAGAACTGCAAGTAGGTATGAGCAAGGATACGTCAAAAACAAACAGCTGAAAACATAAAGAAATTATACTGCAAACGCACACAAATTTGTTTTTAGATTGCAATAATTAATAATAGTTCCAGCTGATGACTGGCAAGCAACAGAAGACTGAGAATTTACCAATTATAAAGTATTTGAAAGTCAATTAGAGACATACTAAATGCAATTGTACGTCTATCTAATACGGGTTTATGGTCCAATACAACCTGTCGAGTTTCGGGGGAGGGGGTAATCATTGGAATGATTGGTAAACGCCTTCGGATCGTCCGGCTTCATCCGGACTAGGAATATATTTAGAAATAAACACGACAACCAATTTTACTATGTTATGCGGATGAAAACAAATATATACATATTTTATCTTATATTATCGGTCAATCATCACTTACCAGAAGGAGCTTGTGATGTGCGTTAAACCTTTATTTGGATACATATAGTTGATATGATTGATTAGATAACAACACCGTTAAAACATACTTTTCAAAATAAATATATGCATAAATTTGGCACACGAATTTCTAATCGAATCAAAGTTCTATCTCTTTTTTCAGTGAGAATGCTTAAAAATACTAATCATTAATATTTATTCAAATTCAGTTTCTTTATTATTATTTCATATCAAAAACTGTCATGACTCAAAAGGCTATCGTAAAAACTTACAATATAAAACATATATGTTTTACCCGAGTCATTATATATTCACTCATGATTATACACTTCTAGTATAGTGAACACAAACTGAATATTAATTTGTTCTATGACATGTGCAACACGCTGAGTTCAATACTTAGCTTATCCAGATATAATCTAACAGAAGAAGAGATAACTCATGATAAATTAACTTAACTCTAAAAATGCCACTGCTTTCAAGTAACCGATCGTTCATGCCATGGCAATAGTACTTTGTGCCCAACTATATTCAAAATGATTTTTACCCATGAATTTAATATGGTATTATGAATTGACAGTTAAAGAAACTTCACTTTAAATATGAAACGAGTTTCTTGTAATTTTAATGTCATCGAAATTATTGAACCAATGCATAAAATTGAGAATGGAAATGGGGAATTTGTTAAAAAGACAACAACCCGACAAACGAGCAGACAACAGCCGAAGGCCACCAATGGGTCTTCAACGCATCGAGAAAATCCCGCACCCGGAGGTGGTCCTCAGCTGGCCCCTAAATAAAATTGTGTACTAGTTCAGTGAAAATGGACGTCACACTAAACTCCAAAACATATAAATGAACTAAAATTAAAAAAACAAACAAGACAAACAAATGCCAGAGGCTCCTGACTTGGGACAGGCGCAAAAATGCGGCGGGGTTAATATAAAAAAGAAGATGTGGTATGATTCCAATGAGACAACTCTCCACAAGAGACCAAGTGACAAAGAAATTAACAACTATAGGTCACCGTACGGCCTTCAGCAATGAGCAAAGCCCCTACCGCACAGTCAGCTATAAAAGGCCCCGAAATGACAATGTAAAACAATTCAAACGAGAAAACTAAATAAAACATGTTTGTGAGATCTCAACCCTCCCCCTATACCTCTAGCCAATGTAGAATAAAGAAACACATAGCAATACGCACAGTTAAACTCAGTTTAAAAGAAGTCCGAGTCCGATGTCAGAATAGGTAACAAAAGAAACTAAGTAAAAAGACAATGATACATAAATTAACAAAGGACTACTAGCAGTTACTGACATGCCAGCTCCAGACCTCAATTAAACTGATTGAAAGATTATATGTCTTCATCATATGAAAATCAAGTACAATCCTTCCCGTTAGGGGTTTAGTATCATACCATCATAAAATATATGAGAAGAACATAACCCGTATCATGCCAACAACTGGTTTTAGAATAAATGTGTTTATTTCCGATGCAAAGACCCTATGAGTGAATCAATATTAATACCAAAATATGCAATCCTTAATGACCTGACAACAGTATCGTAACTATATCCCTTCCAAATAAGTCTGTTTAAAGGTTTGGTTAGCTTTTGAGGTGAATGCCGACATTTTTGTGCTTTGTAAAGAATATTACCATAAAATACCTGAACGTATAAGATGTCTGCATGTTGATTTATATTTACGAATGATGTCCTTGTACTGATGATAAAATTTAGTAAATGTTTTGACTAGTTTGTGATATCGAAAACCCTGGTGTAAAAATTTTTCAGTGATACAGAGATTTTTTTCGTTGAAATCAAATATGTTGTTACATGCATGAGCGAATCGAACAAGTTGAGATATATAAAAACCATAAGATGGTGACAAGGGAACGTCACCATCTAAAAATGGATAATTAACAATAGGAAATGAAAAATCATCTCTTTTATCATAAATTTTGGTATTAAGCTTCCCGTTAAAGATATAGATATCAAGATCCAGGAAAGGGCAGTGTTCATTGTTAGTATTAGCTTTATTTAAAGTCAGTTCGGCAGGATAAATCTCTTTAGTGTACATACTGAAGTCGTCATTATTGAGAGCCAATATATCATCTAAATATCTAAAAGTGTTATTAAATTTTTGAATCAGATGTTGTTTCGATGGGTCTTTGCTGATTTTAGTCATTAATTGTAACTCATAACAATACAGAAACAGGTCCGCAATAAGTGGTGCACAGTTAGTCCCCATGGGAATTCCGATAACCTGACGATATACGGGATCTCCATAGCGAACAAAAATGTTATCTAGTAAAAATTCAAGGGCAGTTATAGAATCAAAGCATGTCCAATTGATGTAGTTCTTTTGTTTGTTGTTACTAAAAAATGACCTAAAAGAGTTTGAACATATATATTCGCATTCCGACTTACTAAATGCCCATTTAATCAGGTGTGTGACTTTTTTCTTAATAAGATTATGAGGCAAAGTGGTATATAGGGTAGAAAAATCAAAACTTTGAACAGATTCGAAATCACCAATATAAGCATGCAATTTATCAAGTTCCTCCGACGAATTTTTGACACTCCTAAAGTAATTAATTCCACTATTTTCAAAGGCCTTATTTGAACAATTTATTATCAGGTTTATGATTGTACCAAGTGTACTGTAAGTAAAATAGATAGTTTAGTAGTGGAACAATGGCTTGAAGACGAAATAAATCTATATTTGTAAGGAGTTTTGTGCAGCTTCGGAAGCCAGTACATAGTTGGAACTTTCATTATATTTGGTTCTGCTTGTAAAGAGGTAGCTAAAAGTTTATGTTTGTTACAGATGTCATTTTCAGAAAATGGAGTCAGTTGGAATGTTGGTGAATTCGTGATTTCCTTTTTTAGAACCTCAATGTAAAATTTACGTCAAACAATAATGATATTGTTAGCAGCCTTATCAGCCGGGACAAAAACAAATTCCTTGGCGAGTTCTTTTAGCTTATGTTTGATACGAGAAATAGGACTATTATGGTTGTTGTTAGGAGTAAAATGATCTTTAAAATGTTGAATACGTATATTGACTATGTTCATTACCGAATTAAAAAAAGAATCTAATGATTTCTTGTCAGCTTTTTCTCGTTTTATCCATTTAGAGCAGTAAGTAAGCAGTGAGTCGTGGATGATGTTACGACACTCATTCCAATTAATAATTGACGGGGGACGATATTTAGGTCCTTTACTGAGGAATGATTTCAACTCTCGGTCACGAACGATGTTAAGGTCTCCTGTTATAACATGGGAACTGGGGCCATAAATGTATTCGGAATTACTGCAATTTCATGAGGTAGGTGTATTGTCACTGATATTAACATCTTTGCACACTTCGCTGTAATTAAACACATATTTCCGGGTAGATTTTTTGTATATATATATACTAAACGAAGTCCTGTATGCACGTTATTTTTCATATTTATTACGAATCTATAGCGCATTATCGACTAATGTTATTTCATTCAGTGGTTCAGTGTTGATCGCAAGCTAATTAATTTTCGAGTCTGTTTACGAAGTTTACCGGATCGTGACATTGATGCTTTTATTTTAGTCTTTCATAGTTGAAATAATTCAACCTATATATCATAGATGGGTACATTTTGAACAAATACACATGGACGAAATTAACACAATCAAACCAAACTAAAAATAGAATGTCGTATTAACACCCTTAACATCTTAAAGCTAACCGCTAATTTCTGACCAAGTCAATTGTTTTTTTTTTACGTAGCTGACCAAACAGACAGGCTGAAAGTTATTTAAAAATCATGAAAACATATTCTATGGAAGAAATATTTCCAACAGTCCAGCCCAAAAGGCTGTCTGAATTTCCTTTGTCGCATATAAACATATTTACTGGTAATCTGAGGGAAAATGAAATCAGTATTACACATGATAATACTGATTAG